AACAATGTATAGTCACAAAGCCAAAAGTGCAATGACACCAAGAAAATGAATGCACTGCTTCAGATCTCAGCAAATTTTTTTTTCTTCCACTTTACTAGCGCATGCGTGCAAACACACTCGTGCTATGTCATACCACAGACTCTTTCTCAGTCTTCTACAGGTGTTGGTCCTACAGGCTAGGAGCAATTTTCGTGTTCAGGCAGTGGACATGTGCTTTGGTTGATGCCGGGAACTTGGCTCAGTGCCAAATCTCACTTTAAGGGGACAGAGTATAATGAATAATGAAGACGGGTGAAATTTGTTTTGCTCGCAAACCCTTCTAGAGACAACCTATATGTCAAATTACAAAAAAAGTTTGAAAAGGTCTCGGCGGGCCACTTGTTTACCGCTCATGGGCCACAGGTTGTGCATCCCTAACCTAAATTTTGTGAAAACACACATTAAAGTTACACCTTTAAAGAATGTAACTTTTCCTCATTTGGAATTATTGTCCTGCTTAATCAGAGCATGCTTGGGAAGTGCAGTCATTTCTGATTTGAATATGCCAGATTTAAGAACATTCTATGGACTGATTTGACAATTGCTTTGAGGTGGAACTAGTGAGATGTATGATGAGAAAACTCTATTTGGAATTAAGTCCAACAAAACACTTTCAAAAATAGAAGAATGCTGACATAACCTTTCAGAGCTAAATGCATCAACCTCCCTTTTTAAGTTGCTTAGTTAAACAGTTTTTACAGTCAAAATTATGGAAGACCCATCATTGCTGTTAGAATCAGAATCGTCATGGCCAAAAAGGGTCAACTTGCCAGTTGAAAAAGCCATAACTCAGTACTGATCACTATCAGCAAAGATTATAAACTTCACGATTGGTATTATAAATACTTTGCATCTGTAAAGAAAATTTTACTCGTTAACTTGAATACTTAGAAAGTTAAAGAAAACTGGCAATGAATCCCTCAAAATTTTGTCCTGAGCTGATGTAGCTTTTATATTATTGATTCAAAACCTCAGACCAATAGTTGATAGTGATGGTCTGATTAGATCTAAGACCAATATTGCTTATCAGGATGGTACTAAGGGCTTCCAAGTTTCTTACTACATAGCTATCTGATCACACAGAAGTAAAGTTACTGATAATGAATGCACATAATGAGCTGATGCAAGGCTTCTGTGGTGATGTCTATTTTGCGAGGAAAGTACTACATTCTCAAGGCTCATAAGATGATATTAAACCGTATTAGAAGTGTGAAATACCAAAGTTTTAATCCTAAAAGATGTGACACAACTTCAGGAATTTTACCAAACGATAAGAGTACACAATTTTACTTTTTTATTTTTGAGATATTTTTGGAATCATGGGTGTAAATCTTGCAGGTCCCCTTAAACTCAGAGACAGCTGAAAAGTTTATGTTGTTCTTTACACTTGTGCAGTCTATCAAGCTATTCTTCTGGAGTTAATCATGTCTTGGTTGGTGTGTTTAGTTCATAGCTACACAGATGAGAAAAAACATAGGTTGTGCCGTCTTAAATTGCGAGGAACTACTTATAATACTATGTGACTGTGAAAGAGTAGTTAACATTAGACTACTTAAATACATGTCTGAAGATGTTGCATTATTAACTCTCAAGATGTTTTTGTGGGAGATTTCAAAATTAGGAGTCTTTGATTTCAATATTGTGAATAAAAAAAAGATTGAGCAAATGAGAAATACCCATAAAAAATGACACAACTCACATTAAGATTCTCTGTAGAGTATCCAGAGACCCAGTCGCCAAATCCTGGTGGTGAAGAATCATCATCAACCACCTTTTTTAGTTTGGTGTAACACTGTAGAGTCATTAAGTTATTTTAAAAGAGGAGACATGAAAAATGAGCAATGCATTCGACGGGACTCGAACCGGAACTCTCGAATACACACTGAGTGTGATACCATAACACCACAAAGGCATGCAGAAAGGAGGGAGAGAATAACTAATAGCTTTACTGGAAGAAAGTAAAAAGAAACCTGTGTACTGGAATCTAGCGTGTGTTTTGAAACCGATACTTGGTTGTGATGGACTTGCTCACATAAGAAGAGACTTCCAAATTTTTGACGCCAGTACAGACTTGAGTTGGATAATTTAGTCCAAAAATCTTCCAGAGAAACTGTTCCTCTGACTACTAGCATAGGGTAGAACAGTGAAACCAGTAATGCATCATTCCGGATTTGGGATTTTTCTGGTTATTAGATCATTAGTTTAAATCTAGTTAAGGTGGCATGTAGAAATTATAAAATTAAAAATATGAAATTATGATTTATGAAATAATCAAGCATTTGTGATTTAAAGGGTAACAAAATTTACAATAAAAAAGCTTAATTTGTTTACTTTATTAAACATTTCTTTCAATGTAAGTTGCTTCATTTTTGTGCTAATATTTTCTCTTTAATTCTGTAGACAGACATAATTTCTTGTTCTATTATATTGTTGAAGTCCTGTTATTGCTGTATTGAGAATTCCGACTAACCTGGCAATCAAATTTTTTTCGTTTTCAGTAACCTCTCTGTCACTTTCTTTACTATCAGTAGTGGTATTTTCTGGATCTAGATTCAACCATACTACAATTTGGTGGGATCTCTGCCAAATTACATAGTATTCGATGGGAAAATGTAAATACCTGAGAGATTAGTATGCAATAATGCAGAAGTTCTTGTTAGTGTTGCTTAGTTGAAAGGAAATGAATTAGATTTGTTAAGTGTTCGAAAATATGTTAACATAACCATGCCTAACATCATCAAATGAATATGTCAGTCTCTTCTTTTTCAAAATGAACTAGGTATAAAATACTCCCTAACAGAGGATTGATCCTCCTAAACAGAGGATTCCCTCACTTAGGATATTGCCAATCAAACTACAATACAGCTTGGATCACTAGTAGTTATTCATTGATCTTCGCAACTGTATAGCTTTGACTGCCTAATGACAAACAAATAATAGCAGTGGTACACTGCCTACTTATGACCACTTCAGTGGCCTATTGATGTGATTAATGATGGAAATTAGGTTAAGCAACTAAATAATGTAATTCTTTTTTATGTCATGCTAGAAAATATGCATACCTCTTTTTTATACCAGAACTAGATGAAAAATAAATTTATGAGCCTTGTAAGGCAAGTTTACAGATGGAAAATTGTTAATTAAATTACAGTGGACAAGAAAGTGTATGATTGCTAACTTATTTGAAGCATTCATCTAATGTAGCACTGGATAATTTGATAAAATCAAGTATCTATTCAGGATATTAACATCATTAAGAACTCTGTATATATGTAAATAATTTTAGTCACATTATATGTGAATTGTGCTATCTCCTGTGTAACATAACATGAAAGACCTAAAAAATGCAATGCAAAGCTTTGCCAGAAAAATAAGGTTACACAGCAAGTCCATTTAACATTGAGGTAAATGGCTTTGTTGCCAAAGATAGAATCAAACTGGCCATTGTCCAGTTGACTAATTTTTGTCACCAAATCTGGGGACTGTTTAGCAACATTTTGGTACTACACCTATGTAACTGCAACGGGTTTGATCCTTAAGTAACTGCATTCTGCCATATGTAACTGTAATTGTGTATGCCTTCTAGCAATTTTGAGAAACTGAAGGTACTGAAAGTTTCTCAAGCATCAGGGGAAAACTATATAAGACTAGAAAAACCATCAATTTAGTTCAGAGTACTGAGAGATCACTATGTGAATTTGAACATTTGATTTTATACTGTCTTGTACATACATTTATACTGTCTTGTGTTTTACACTCTTAGTAGCTGGAAGTGATAACTACTGATTGTACTCTGTCATACTGAGAAGAGCTGCACAAGTACTTTTAAGAAAAGTTCCAGAACTGTAAAAGGTTTCTTTTGGGAAAATAAATTTCATCAAGCTATCATCAGTTCTGTATGCATTCAATCCATTACGAATCCGTACGCATGTAACAATAAAATATTAAACTGTGAAACATACAGATATTAAAAGCAACAAAAATGTGCATTTATAACTGATATTATTTCTTCTTTTTTTTTTTTAAGTTAATAATATTGTTATGGAAATAAGTTTACCACAATCAAGTTTTGTATCTAAATTATAATATTTGTATCTGCTGTTCAATAATAATACAACACATATGAAAAATGCTTAAATTTCTAAATAATGAGGCACTCTTTTCCAGACTATCTTTTTCTCTCAACATATTTCAAATTCCAAATATATGGGTGAAAAGATATTATTATTCTAATATCACACAAAATTGCTGATTGCAAAAATAAAGAAGTTTCAATGGATAAAAAGACATTATTGTTCTAACACTACATGATACTGATCAGTTCTGAAAATCAAAAAGTATAAATTTATAACAATACTTAGCTGATGGGTATCAAAATAAGCATTTAAAATTCATTTACATTACATACATTATAACATAAAACATTAAGAAAAGAATTTACAAAATGTACTAGGTCAAAAACATATAAAAATACACATTTGTAATTCTGGAATGATGCTGAAAATATACTATTAAAAAGTAACAGTGAATAGAGAAACACAAAATAACCATTGGAAGTACTAAAGCATCCAATATATATTTCATAATCAAAAATACAAGAACACTTACAAGCAAGATGCATAAACTAACTGTTATGTAATTTCAGGCAGAATATATTAAAATGCATAAATAAAACTAATATTAACTATTTCAGCCAAATGTAATTCACACAACATTACATAGGGAAAAAAATTAAGATAATCTTATTGGCCTTTTCCTTTAGAATTGAGAGATACTTATTCTTTCCTAAGTAATTCTGTATTATTATTTAAATCATGAGGCATAACTTTCTCAAATTTTGAAACTATTTGACAAACTAGCAATGGAATAACAATTCAGGAAACAGCTTCTAGTTATAAATAAATAAAAAATTTCTATATAAGATAAGACAGAAATCAACTTTGAAGTCAAAATAACATTACCTTAGATAAATCCACCCCAGTGAGAGAATGCACAGTAGGTGGTAATTGACTGGCTAATTTTGTTACTTCAGATGCTACTTTATTTGTTTCACCAATTAAAACTATGTCTCCAGTTTTTGCCAATGGTGCACAAACTTCTGCTGCTACCTGAAAATACAATTCAGTTAGTAAAATTTCAGATGGGGAATTTAAATATAATTTATACAAACCCAGCTTAACAAAAAATATCTTATCACATGAAATATTTCAATAAACTAATAAATATTTTCAGTTTTTAATAAAAACACTTTAACCACAAAAGCACATTTACTGAAAATGTGTAAGATGAAATGCTTTCATGTAAGATAGGGTATACTTGTGCATTTTATTTTCATTTTTATCTTAAGTTCATCTTATTCAAAAGAGCAGTAAGAAAAACCGTATAACAGATTTTAAATCTGAAGTAAAATAACCAAATATTATTCATAAATATAAGAATATCTTCAAAGCTTTTAAGTAAAAGAATATTTGACATTTCCATAAAATTCCACAGCCATGAATTCCTCTATTTTCTAAGCAAATTCCAGCCACAACAATAAATGCAACTTCTTATAAAATTTTTTAAAGAGTGCTTGAGACTCAGAATTTGGAAAGTATAATATGATTTTACAAGCTCTGCACAACTTGAGTTCTCTAAAAATTGTTACATCTTAGTACATTATAAAACCTTTGCATTTAAAAGGTGACTCTCGGTCACCATCTGATTTGATGCAGCAACTTCAGAGGTGACCCTTGGTTTGATGTGATAACACTGAAGGTGACTCTCAATCACCACTCAGTTTGCCGTGATAATTTGAGCAGTAATAATGTTTATTTAGGTTTTGTTGGGTATATTACTTCATGAGTATAATTCAACAATACATGTGTATAAAAATATGATGTGTACACCACATGACTTCCTTGAATGGAATATTAAATTATACACATTTTTTCTTGCATTTCGTTTAAACTTATTGGATTTAATTAAATCTTCTTCGCCGACAGTGCATAAAAACACAATAGAATAAATGCATTCATTAAAATTCACTCTATTTGTTTACCATAGCGACACTCTGGTGCTAGGTTCACTTAACAGTATTATATTTCGTTCATATTATAACTCAGAATGCACAAAATTTATACCATTTAAAGAATTATCTAATCGTTGCCACATGTTCTATTCAAATACTATAATAAAGCTAGAACGATGTATAAAAGAAATTAAGCAAACAAAACAAAAAAGAAACAGCTTTTCACAGACGATTGAGTATTTCTCATTCAATTAATTCAGTTCTCACTTTGCGGCAAGGCAAAAATAAATAAAAACTCAAAATATCTGTATTAAAAATTACTAATTATTAAAAAGTAAATCACTAATTATTAAAAATTAAATAAAATCTTAAGCACTTATTTCCTCGAAAAAATTCCAGAAAGAATTAAGCATGATTTAAATTGCAATAATAAATGAAGGCATTATCTTTGTTGTTGCGAAGCTACGTTTCTCTAGAATGGCAACAAATTCACTACTCTGCCATTTCAAATGTAAACAAGCAATGGCGCCATCAAAAAAATTATTAGGCTTAGCGGCACTTAAACAACTTTTAAATTGTTGATAACTCTAAAAATATTGCGTACAGATTTACTAAAGGCATAAAAACCTTAACCGGAAGATAAAAACAACATAATTCAATCATTTTTAAAGCAAAATATGTGAAATTTACAAACATATAAGAGTAAAGAAACTGAGATCATTGAGCCGAGTAGAGTGGATATATATATAAATATATTTATATATGTTTGGCACAGCCGATTGCAACCAAAATACGAGGTGCACATCTACATGTTATAGTAGTCTTATATACAAAATTTCAACGTTGTGAGGCTACTCGTTTTTGAGTTATGCGAGATACGTTCGTACATACGTTCATACAGACGCCATGAAAAATTCTCTTCAGAATTCATTTTAAAGCAGTTTCATATTTTTTTTTGGAGGAAAAGAGTCTTTTATTCTGTCCTTACATACAAATATCACGCAAAAACATCGTTAAATTGCATTCAAAAGTGGTCAAAATGGATATTTTTTGTTGAAATATGCTGCCTGAAACTTTTCGCGATTACAATACTTCCTTTTTACTTCGTACAAGGAAGTAAAAAAACCTGATGTGTACACCGCATGACTTCCTTGTACGGAGTATTAAACTATACACATTTTTTCTTGCATTTCGTTTAAACTTATTGGATTGAATTACATCTACTTCGCCGACAGCGCATAAACCACAATAGAATAAATGCATTCTTTAAAATTCACTCTATTTGTTTACCACAGTGACACTCTGGCGCTAGGTTCACTTAACAGTATTATATTTCGTTCATATTATAACTCAGAATGCCCAAAAGTTATATCATTTAAAGAATTATCTAATCATTGCCACATGTTCTATTCAAATACTATAATAAAGCTAGAATGATGTATAAAAGAAATTAAGCAAACAAAACAAAAAAGAAACAGTTTTTCACACACGATTGAGTATTTCACATTCAATTAATTCAGTTCTCACTTCACGACAAGGCAAAAAATACATAAAAACTCAAAATATCTGTATTAAAAATTACGAAGTAAATCTTAAACACTTATTTCATCTAAAAAATTCCAGATAGGATTAAGCATGATTTATTTCAACGTTCTGAGGCTACTCGTTTTTGAGTTATGTGAGATACGTACATACATTCGTACAGACGCCATGAAAAATTCTCTTCATAATTCATTTTAAGGCAGTTTTATAAATTTTTGGAGGAAAAGTCTTTTATTCTCTCTTTATTTACAGATATCACGCAAAAACATTGTTGAATTGCATTCGAAAGCAGTCAAAATGGATGTTTTGGTTGAAATATGCTGCGTAAAACTTTTCGCGATTACAAAGTATTGTATCGAAGTAATTGTATTGTAATCGTACAAGGAAGTAAAAAACAGTCAATCTTAAACTTAAATACTCATTTTAAATTTATAATTATATATGCATCTCTCTTATGTTTGAACTCAACAGTCATGGCAATAAAAATATTATTTTCTAAATTATGGGGCCCAGTAAACATATAATAAGATGAAGAAATCAGTTCAAGTTAAGATGAGTTCCATTTTTCATTGATGAAATACGAATTATATCTATGCATAGACTACATAATGACAGAGAGCAGGAAAGCAGTGATGAAGATAGCAGTGAATTAAGAGGTGCAAGAATGCAAAGAATCAGACTTAACAGATATTCAAGGTGATATCACCAGTGGTTCCACAGAAGAGACAAAAAATTCAGAATGGATAACTTGCACAAATTCCGAAGAAATACTGCAAAAAATATATTTTGTACAAAGCTAAACAACAGTAGGACCACTAGGATTTTTAGATATAAAAGAATCATTAGATTTCTTTAAATGGTGTGTGAAATAATTTAAGTGAGCTGTAGGAAATTCACCAAATATGCAGAAAATTGTCTTGAATTGCTGGTTTGCTGGAGTGAAAAAGGGCGTTGAACGCAAAGGGTTAAATATTGTACATAAAAAATTAGCGTAAAAATATTTGTTATCAATATTAAAACAATCTAAGAGAATAATCTTTCTTATATTAAGATGAAACAACTATTTTTCTATTTGCATTAATAAATATATTATATATAGCATTACTAAATATTTTAACTATTTTTGCATTAATAATATATTTTTTAAAATTAAAATAAAGTTACTTTAGTCGGTACATTGCACAGTTTTTGAAAGCTTAATTCTGTAGTTCCCACTACACAATTAACTGTACATTAATCATTAAGGTACAATTGATATACAATATATCTAAAGTAAATAAAGCTGAGGAAAAGTTTAAATTATTAACAGAGGTTTTTATTCTCTTATTTATTCTGTCAATTCAGCCTGCAAAGACTTGGATCTGTATTTGGTTAGAGATTTTACACATTTCTAAAGGTATATATGAAAGTATGTATAACTGGAAAACACTCTATTAAGATTATTTGCCTAAAACAGATACTGTTGTTCTGGATTTCTTATGAAAATTTAATCCCACTACTTATTGAAAAACCTCACAAAATAACACGTATTCTGTTTATTTAATGAAAATGAAATACTTCATAAAGTGCCCATTTCCCGTGTTCATCTACCTAGTCAACAATATTGCAATACTGGAAAATTTTGAAATAAAATATATATATATATATACTATATCACCATTAAATACTATGAATGTTTTAACACAATTTAATCACATACATTGCAAAATTCCTTTATGTTAATTAATTGCTGATATTTGAATAACCTCGCCAATGAGATTGTGAACCAACTTTGTATTAATTTGATCTGTGTAGCCTTTTGCTACTAGCTCATTTAAATTTTACATTTAACTATTATTTAAATTACCTCACAACAAGTGCAGGCTGAGTTCTAAGCATCAAGTGTGCCTGCTATTTTTCCTCAGTTTCAAATAAAGGGTCTTCTGTGCCTCTTTCAAGTCTTTACTGTTATTTCAGACCTAGCGATAATTCACTTAACATCTACAAAAAGTTTTTTAACAGTAATTAGTGATCGCAAAACACATCAAACTTTACAGTGGCACTTAAATGAAACTTTACAGTGTTCAGTGTTTGGTCTGTCACCCTGAACATCACAGGCTTCACCAATAGAAGTAATTTCCATGGAGAGATTTGGATACATTGTGGATAAGATACAAGTGTAGATGAAAGCCACAGCAACTTCTGCTCAACTTCTGACAGCAGAAGTTGCATAATGACATTTTTTAAAATATAATTGGACTTGCATTTCTCACTTTAACCCTTTGCGACACGCATATTTAAAATATATTTTAATCTTTAAAAAAATGCCTTAGAATAAGTCAGATGGACTTACTTAAGTGCCTTTAAGGCTTGAAAAAAATTCTGAGCTTTTATTTTTTACGGTGGAAGGTGGGATACCGTTTGTCCCACCATGCAACTAGCACATGTCTTATAGCATATTGGTGTATAGCAGGAAAAAAAATCATATGTGGAATGAATAAACAAAATAAAGCGTGCATTCCAAAATATTCATAATAAACACACTAAAATGCTTTTTGTACTTATTGCATATATGCATGACTTGTAAAATTTTGCATATACAGTCAAAAGTCGTTAATTTGGACACCCGTAATCCGGAATGATCTATAATCCGGACCTCAAAGCTAAAATCTTTCTGCGCATGCGCATAGGCGTTTTACTCGTGCACGCAAGACATTTACGACTGCGCATATGCATCTGCGCAAGTGCAGAATACGTTTTCGCGTGCGCGTTTAATGTATAACGGACGGTAAAAGCTAAAATTATCTAATTATCTATTTCAGTTAATGTTGATAATTGCATTGTTCCTTAATCTTCAAATTGGATCCGGCTTATTATTTTTTGCAGACTGTAAGAGCAATTTTCTAAAAGTAAGCTTGAACTTTCGATTATGTCAAATAGAATTTCCGATGCTGGAGCTCCCAAAGGATCTAGAAAACGAAAGTATGTTTCGATGTCCATCAAACAAAAAAACGAATTGCTACAAAAAATGGATAAAAGCATATCCTTTGTTTATCTAACCGTTCCGAAATCTGTTTATCAATTTCACACTGCTCTGCGCGGGGGGGGGGGGGGGGGGGGGGGGGGGGGGGCACGTCGCGGCGCTCAATGAACTGGAAGTTGATCTGTCAACACTATCGTTATCTTCAGGGCAGATGTTTTTATTTTAGTCGGCTTATAATTCCTTACTAAATGTAGTATTTAATTTCGATGTACTCTGTCTTTGATATGATTTAAATCAAATTCCTCGTCATTATAAATATCACGAATACAAATCACATAGTTTTCTGGTTGCAATTTTCTAATTTCGGCTATGAGTAAGGTATGCTTTACGCATCCGTGCGTTAAAAGAAATGTTTAATAAAGTAAACAAATAAATATTAGGCTTCTTTTTTGGTAAATTTGGATACCCTTTAGATCATAATTGCTCATTATTTTATAAATTACGGTTTCATATTTTTAATTTTATAATTTCTGCATGCCATCTTACCAGATTTAAACTGATGATCTATAATCTGGAAAAATCGATAATCCGGAATCGCCGAAGTCCCGACGAGTCCGGATTAAAGACACTGCTGATTAAAGACTGTAGTATATATTTAATATTTTTAAATTTTAGGAACAAAAGAAAATATTTTCTTGAATATTATTTTAAGATTAAAATTTGATACTCGTACTAAATAAAATATTAAAATTGGCACTTGATTCAAAAACATTTATATATGATTAAAATTGAAAAAAAGTCATTTTTCATGAAACTTTGAAAAACATGTTGTTTCATTCTTTTGTAAGCATAGAGGCACTTCACATGTTTCACACATCCAAAATGTTCGTCGTTCTTCTTTCGATATGCTGCAATATGCACATCTTCTCCTGCTCGTTCTCTTTGGCGTTTTACTTACATTTTTTAGTCTCTTTTCTGGTTGTACGAACGGTTTTTTAAGTTTTTATTTGAACTGGGGATTTCAGTTTTCTTTTCAGCTCTTTCTTGCCTGCAAGTGCCATTAGACCTTCTATAACTGAGAGACTAAAATCTTTCATTGTTTTTACATCATGATCAGGTTCGCGAACAAACTTAAATAGAATAAATGTGTTTACTATACTCGCATCTAAAAAGTAAAAAAATATCCTGTGCCACCATTTCTTGCTTTTTCTTGCTTTTGCGGTCTATTTCATATAGTCCTTTCAGTTGATCAAATAAGTCGACATATCCCATATTCTTATTGTATGAAATAATGCTGTTTGGGCACAGTACTTTTTTTTTTTTTTTTTTTGCTTTCCATCTCATTCTTTTCTATTAATTTCTTTCATTTCAGTTGCCTTTTCCAAGCAAGACAGGACAGAAACGGATCTTTTATCCTTCCATTTTATGCAAAAAATTTAATCATCGCTAACTGAAAAGTCTATATATTCTCTTGACATAAATTTGTCTTTTAAATTTTTGGGTAGATACTTCCGATCCATATTTACAGTGCCACATGCATAGATAAGTCTGTGTCTTTAAAAAGCGAAACAAACTATAACTACTTCCCTTTCTTCTTCAGCAATAACTTCAACCTCAGTTATTCTCTTCTGGATTTCAATTTCATCTGAATCAGAACTGACATCTGAAGCATTTGAGTCGCAATCGGATGGCAATTCAGCAAAAAGATCCAAAGCTTCCTGAGTTGTTAATTTTTTTCTAGACATTTTAGCACATCAGAGCATACAACGGATGTAAAAGCGCGCACAATCACGAAAAAAGTAGATGAAAAAAAGAAAAGAAAAAATAATCGTGAGTGCTGCCATCTATTGAGCGGAAATTCAAGTGTGTGGTGGGACAAATTTTAACCCACTTATTTCAACTGCAAAATTAATGTTATAAAATATTGAAACCAATTAAGATTTTTTAAAATAAAATACCTCTGAATATTAAAAAGAATCATACATATCATAAATTGTATACCAAAATTTTTAAAATATTGAAAAATGCGAGATACATGGATATCACTCTTGTGATCCTATTTTGAATATTTTTTGCTTATAAACTTAAGCCCTGGTATAGTAGTAACATCTACTGAGAAAAATAATAGCTAAAATAGATTATTTTTAAAAGATTAGAAAATTTCTAACGGAAATTGCTAACTGAGAAAATAAATATTAATTAGGTGGGACATATATTGACCCACCATGCCGCAAAGGGTTAAACAGTTGGGGAAGTGGACTAGACAATAATTCACTTAATGTCTACATAGTTTGATTAATAATTGTGATTGTGAAACATATCAAACTTTATAACACAACAACAGGTAGATATAAAAATTATAAATGTTTTGAGAAAGGGACTGAAAATTATAGTCGATATAAACACTTAAAATACCTTAGGAAGAACTTCCAGAACAGAACTCATTATAGCAGCATCTCCATAACCTTTGTAGGCTGCAGCTTTCATTCGCATTCCCTCTGCTTCTGCTTTGCCTACTGATTCAATAGCATAGGCTTCTGCAGTACCAATCATCTTGATTTTTTCTGCTTCAGCACGAGCAACTTCCATTGTCTGTGTTCTGGACCAGAACAATATATCTTTAAACAACAGCTCCAATAAAAAAATTTCATTATGTAGTATTCAGTGGTGAGCCACAAAAATTTTAATAAAAAGACAGAATAGCAATTTTATAGGATAAAATGTTAAATTTTACATGAACATTTTTAACACCTTATTCTGTAAAACAAAATATCAAATTCTAATGAAATATTTTACTTATTGCAAAAAAGAGAAAATACAAACAATTGTGGGTTAATTAAGAAAACATTTTTAAATTATAAAGCAGTCATTATCTTGATGAAGCTGTATGTATCATTAAAGGTACCATCTAGTTCAGACTTTTGTGCCAACAGTTATTTTGGCAGTAAGCGGGTCCACATTAATAGAAAAGAAGCAAAATCTCTTTATGCTTAACATTAAGACAAAATAAGCTGAATAATTCCTTCTCACAATAACAGTGTTCGTAAATTCTATGCTACTCACAGTGGCCAAACATATAGACAATTTTTAATATACTCATGTCCATAAATTAAGGAAAATTTGAAGTCACGCGGAAATCAAACTCTAAAATAAATATATCACCTGTAAAATCACTGCACACATTTTCAAGAATCATATGCAAATTTCAGTAAGTAACTAGATGACACCGATGGTACGTCACAATGACGAGAGTGTATGAGAGTGATATATAAGGAATATAGGCAAAGAAGTAAAATTGGTCGCAGACGTTTTATAAGCATTTCAGTTCAATAACCGAATAGTTATGACACAAAGGACGCACTTGGATGATTTTTTACGTGGTAGAATTATCGGCCGTATGGAATGTGGGCGTACCCAACTGGAAGTATCAGACGAACTTGGAATTACCCAGAGTGTCATCTCCAGCCTTTGGCAACGATTCCAAGATGATGGTAATGTGAATAGACGTTACAGCACAGGTCGCCCCAGAGTTACAATGCCGAATGAGGACCGGTATTTGGCAGTTACTGCCAAAAGAAACAGGCGGAGCACAGCCTCAGACCTGTCTCGTCAGCTCCCTTCAGCCACTGGTATGACAATTTCAAGGCAGACCGTGTACAGACGCTTAGGGCAATTTGGTCTATATGCTCGTAGACCTGTCAGATGCGTTCCACTTACTGTAACTCACTGTCGCCTGCGGTTAGCCTGGCGTAGAGAGCATGCATTGTGGACACCGCAACAGTGGGCTTGTGTGATGTTTTCCGACGAGTTCAGGTTTAGCTTGCAGTCTGATTCTCGACGGACTTTCATATGGAGAGCTCCAGGTACCCGTTACCACCAAGAAAACATCACTGAACGACACTGTTACGGTGGTGCAGGAGTGCTCGTTTCTGGTGGAATTATTCTGGGTTCCAGAACAGACCTGCATGTTCAAATTTGAATCATGACCAGCCAAATCTATCGGGACATCATTCTGGAACAACATGTACGTTTGTTTCGGGGTGCCATGGGCGCACAATTTGTGTTTATGGATGACAACGTCCGTCCTCACCATGCAAACATCGTAAGCGAATGCCTTCAATCGGAGGATATCACCCATATGGACTGGCCAGCATTCTCACCGGACTTGAATCCAGTAGAGCACGTGTGGGATATGCTTGGCCGACGAGTTGCAGGACATCAACCTCCTCTTACATGTCTAACGGAACTTTGGAGAGCATTGTGTTTTGAGTGGTGTAATATTCCCCAAGATCAGATCGATAATTTGAAACTCAGCATGTCTAGGCGTTGTACGGACTGTATTGCATCGTTTGGGAGACATACAATGTATTAACAATCATACCAACCATGTAATATTGTTTTTTTGTAAATAGGTTTTTTTTTGTAATTTGCTCCAGGGAGAAAAATTCGCTAATTTTTTAATAATATCAAACATATAGCATCTTTTTTTTGCTCTTTCCTTTTTGTTCAATAAATACGCTTTACAAATAAGTCAAATTTGTTTTGCTTCTAACTCTTCCTTTGCCTGATTTTGCATTATCCTTAATTTATGGACATGAGTGTATTTCATTACTAGATGTTTACCAATCTTGTTGAATTCTTGCTGATTTTTTAGGAATTGGTGATAAAATGCATACAATTTAGTGAGAAAACATTTTACAATAATTCATTTCATTAATGGCTTTAATCAGATCTTCTGATACTCATTCACAGCTATCAACCTTAAAACCTTATTGTGCACAAAACAGAGAGGTTCTTGTGCACAACACTGAAAGCTTTTAAGAGGCTTTTTTGCATGATAGTACCATGCAGTAGCACAGTAGTTTCAAAAGAACTCCAATAATTAAACTTAGATTCACTTTATGATGCATGGTTAAGGTTATTCGACTACTTCTAAGATGATATTTTAATATTTAACTATATATTCTGAATTTTGCATTGTTTAGTTAATTTTGTTTTGTAATCTTCTTACACTTTTATACTGAAAAAAAACCTTGACCAGGCAAGTAAAGCTTAAATTCATTAAAGTACTTTTAAAACAATGAAAACAAAATTATAATTAATATACTTCCTATCATATGGATAATCTCAGTAATTTTATCATGTATTGATGCAAAATAAAATAATATAAATATTAACTGATTGAACATTAATTTAATCTTCATGAAAAGTTCTGCAAATGTCTATTGAATATTAAGACAATTCATATCAAATAAAACTTAAGAAAAATTATGCAGAAAATTATTAAGGATGCGGCATGAAATCTGCTGAATATTAGGTTTCATTAGTTCAGTATACTTCATTTATTACTGAAAAACACTTTCCTTGGTAAAGGTTAAAAATTAAAAGCCAGGAGATTGGGAGATGAGATAAAAAAAACAGGAGATTTTGCAGTTGTGTCCATTGCAAACAATGAACTATACATAGCCACATTACAATGTTAGGAAATTCTTGAAAAATTTGATCGCAATTCCTGATTTTTCTCCTACTATTACACTAGCTCCACTGGAACGAAATGCAATTAAATGACTTTTAAAAGAATCTTCATAAAATCCATATGAATTTAAAGTATTAATTGTAAAGGCATATATGCATTCAGTTGTAGCATTTTCTACCTTCCACCCCCCCAAAAAAGATCCAGGGATTAGCAAATTAAAACACAATTAAACAAAGGGCTCTTGTGAACTCCCTAAAGCTCACCAGTGGTAATGACTAAATGTTGATCAAACAATTAACAGATATTGGACAATAATGGCATGATATATCTATGAAATTCTATAATGAATCTAAATGTTGCATCTAAAATTCTACATGTAGTGGTTCAGTGGTGTTCCTGTCTAAAAACTCAATCCAACTTAAAAGGATATTTATTGGAATATCAAACTAAATAATCTAATTTAGAATATGATACAGTCAAAAGTCGTTAATTCGGACACCCATAATTCGGAATGATCTATAATCCGGACATCAAAACTAAAAACTTTCTGCGCATGCGCCGCGTTGACACATGCGCATAAGGCGTTTCACGCGTGCGCGTAAGACCTTTTACGACTGCGCATATGAGTGTGCGCAAGTGCAGAATACGTTTTAGCGTGCGCATTTTATGTATAATGGACGTATAAGCTAAAATTATCTAATTATCTATTTCAGTTAATGTTGATGATTGCGTTGTTCCTTAATTTTCGAATTGCATACGGCTTATTATTTTTTGCAGACTGTAAGAGCAATTTTATAAAGGTAAGCTTAAACTTTCGATTATATCAAATAGAATTTCCGATATATATTTGTTAATATGTAAAGGATCTAAAGCAAAAGTATGTTTTGAAATCCGAAATCTGTTTATCAATTTCACGCTGCTCGGCGGCGGGCGCGTAATGAATTGGAAGTTGATTTGTCAGCACTATCCTTATCTTCAGCGCAGATGTTTTTATTTTATTTGGCTTATAATTCCTTACCAAATGTAGTATTTCATCTCGATATGCTCCGTCTTTGATATGATTTAAAACAAGTTCCTCGTCATTATAATTCGCTTCCGATAGCGAAGAAACGTGACAGAGGTTATTGAAAACAAAAAAATTTCGATTGACAAATTAGTCGGTGTTCTTGACACAGCAATTATAGGACTTGAACGGCGGAACTTTGTAACTGAAGAAGAAATTATGTCTGTTTAATAGAATTAAAGAGAAAGTATTATCACATGAAACGAAGCAACTTACATTGAAAGAAATGTTTAATAAAGTAAACAAATAAATATTAAGCTTTTTCTTTTTGCAAATTTTGATACCCTTTAGATCATAATTGTTCTTTATTTCATAAATTACGGTTTCATATTTTTAATTTTAGAATTTCTGCATGCCATCTTACGGGATTTAAACGGATGATCTATAATCCGGAAAAATCGATAATCCGGAATCGCCGAAATCCCGACGAGTCCGGATTAACGACTTTTGACTGTATCACATCAGCAGTGTTCAAACTACACCGAAACAAATCAAAAGAGTGTTCTGTTTTGCTCTGTTGCCACTTATCATTTTCGAAATCCTATGCATTATGTTTATGCTTCTACTACTTTTCATGCTGCCAATCAGAGATAGAGAAAAGTATATATTCAAACAGGAACAGACGCTGAAAACATAATTTTCAACCCTAAACTGATTTTCAATAAGTAACACCCAAATAACGCTATATCTAACCCGTTCAATGTTAAGATCTCTAAGTTAATCCTGTGATCCAGCGATTGAAAATGATAGCATAGCGGCTAACTAACCAGCAATTGAAAATGAATGCAAAAAATATTGACTGTGTTTCAGAAATAAACCATAAATATTAAAAATATTATTCACATTTTAATTACATCAGCAGCAGCATTAAGAACAGCAAATGCTATCTTTTAAATTAAAATCACGTTTTGATGTTAAGAAGTCCACAATAACTTAGCATTTCTCAAGTAGAAACCATTTTTATTATTTCAAATATTCTGCAGACCACCTTAATCTTGACCTCTTTGAAAACAATTTTTTAGCATATGCTACTATCATTATACAGTCAAAAGTCGTTAAT